TCAATAGATGGTGGATGAGGAGCGGACTGGACCTCGGGAAGCCGTAGATTTTGTAATAATCTGAGACAAGTCTGACCATCGCTGTTGCTGCCGCTGTGAGAGATTGTAATACGGCGGGCATTAGTTGCGACGTGTTTGGTTCCTCGTTCCGCATTTTCGAAAATAATCGGAGAAATGGTGGCATTGTTACTAGAATTGCCATTTGGTATGCCATGTGAAAGAGAAAGACAGGTTTTTCGGTTGCGCCTCGCTTTATTGCGAGTCTTTGATCTCGTGACTTAAAGAATTGACTGAGGTTTTCGTGCGTTGCTATCAATAGACTGACTTGCTCGGGTGTGGTAAGGGTTTCGAAGGTAGAAGAGAATCTGGAAACTGTTAGTGAGTGCATTACCGGTGGATTGTGAGATGGGGAATTGGTGCTTGCATTTTATCCATGTTTTGGTCATGCATGTACCATAGCTTGCATTGCCACGCAAAAGATATTTGAGCCAGACTTGTCCCATCGCTTGGGAAGCAAGTTTCAATTGCGGGAACATTCACACGTCGCCAAGGTAGCATGCAGTTCCTTCCTAGGATTGAGATTGAAGTTCTATCAGTCATGTAGAATGACCAAAAAGTCTGCACATCTGCGAGCCCGGCACCAGAAGTCGACATGGTGTCAAATTCATCAAGTGCCAATACGTGAAGCCGTAGTTGAACAGCCATCCCTGCAGCCATGGAGAGGAATGTCCAGCCAAATTGATCACAGCCCGAGGCGAGGGAACGCCATGACAGGATACTTAAACCTTGAATGACGTATATTGACGGGGACTGTCGAAAACATTTGAAGACGAGAGATTCACTTAATTCAGCAAGTTTATCACTGATCTTGAGGGAGTCCTTCTTGTTTTCAAATGCTGCTCCAGCTGCTAACATGGCTGCATGAAGGAAGAGATGATCCGGAGATTGGTTAGGGAACTGAAGAAAAAAGTCCGAACTTTCATACTGCGTGAATTGATGATCTTCGTTGATGCATTTGAGAAATAGAGCAGCGATTTCATAAACACGAGTGACTTCCCCGCATATTTTCAGAATCTGAGGTGGCACTTGAGGCGGGCCCTCGGGCTGAAGAATGTTCTCCCCTGTTGGAGGGTTCTTGATTGAATGTTTCTCCTCCTCAGCCACAGCATCTGCAAGATTCGTTCTCCACATCATAACGCTCAATTCCTCCATGGCAGTTTGCGACTGATGAGAAGGTTCATTGTCAGCCACGTTATTCAGAGGCGCACAATGTTCCTGTTCGTGTGACTTCCCCAGCGGAGGTAGTAGGAAGGTCGAGTCTAAGATGGCATTGGCAGATCTTTTTGGTTCAATATGCGGCAGCGTATTGGTGCTACTGCTATTTTGAAGAGCTAGCAAAGCCTGAACTTGGTTCTCGAGGGATTTAACATAGTTCTCATCCCAATACTTTCGTCTGTCTATCGTGTTAACCCCATGGGTTTCGTTGCAGTTTAGGATGGGCTAATACTTTCTAACTTTTTTCTCATCCGCATATTCGCATTCTTTCGCCGTTCGTTGACAATATGAGCATTGTGGTTTCGCACCATCGCACTGTCAGATATATCAGCGATCAACCCCACGTCTCCTAGCGCATGACGTACTCGGCGTTTTGAGGCTCGACACTGACGGCATGCAAAATGAACTGGTTTCATAGGCTGATTTGACATTTCAATTACATATCACACCCAAAAGAGAAGTTTGGCACTAAAGTTCCCCGACTCTCAACAAGAAGACTGTGACCAGGGAAGGAGTTTACGATTGCCACTTTCACGTAGGGATCATGTGATTTGCGGGAGACCTTGCAAAGTGGGGTTCTACGGACCATCTCTGAACCTGTTCGCGGGGCCTATAAGTTATGTCTTGATGAGCCAAAGTCTTCTAACATCACTTAAGAATGTTATTATTATGTATAGTTATTCTGTATCATATAGTGCTACTTGATTACCCATTATGAGCTTTATATACTAGCCTCTAATAATACATCGATTCAAAATTGTATGCCCTGTCCAACAAACACAATTGGGTTGAAACTAAGAAAGACGAACAGTCTTATTTGAACAAAACTAAAAGGATAGAAGGATTGCATATAAGCCTCCTCGATTGTTTTTAGAATCATAGGCTCGCCATTGGACTGAACTATTCTTAAGATCTTCCTGGCGACCAAAATTCCCCATCACATCAGCGAACAAGTTAGTAGCAACTATCTAGTCTATATCTAATTATGCAAAGGTAAATATCTCTGTCGTAGTATCTACCTGATTTAGTTAACCGTCTTCCATCATAACTAAAGGCTGTAGGGCTGCCACCCTAGTAGAAGAAATCAAGCCTTCACCACCTATGCCTATTTTCTCCACGCTCTTTCAGTAATCACAGCTGAATAATGTAAGACAAAGTCTTAGGGTATAAGTCTGGGGAAGATAATGGTAGCCTAGTTACATATTAATATCTCCTATGAAACACGATTCGGCGCACTTCAGTAGACGTAGACCGAGATCACTCTTCCCTGAACGAGGAGTTAATACTTGGCCATGTGGAGATATGAATAGCTATATTACTCTTGAAAGAATGTGGAATATCTTAGCAGCGGCTGGACATATTCCTTGTGAGATAAGCGAACTTGACCGAGCCGAAGCTCCGCAACGCTAACAATGCATCCTAGACCTATCACCAAATAATGTACTTTCTATGAGATTGGGCTTCATTTTCCAGCCGTGGATTTGGTACCTCTATTAGGCCCAATTTGCACGTGGGCGATTTAGATAGAGTTGTCGTCATTTTCTGAAAATCCCAACGACACAGCCAATCTGTTTTGATGCATAATTGGATCTACACATTATCTCCGGACGGTGGAGTAGAAGTGAGTTCTTGACCTAAACGGCGTTCATCCAGCGTCGAGCAAACGGCTCCTTGTACTCTTTGGTGTGCTTTCTGGAAGAACATTTGCACCAGACAAACTAGATATAGTATGGATAACCATGAATTCAAAAGCGATGAGTTGTGCCTTGTTCTGCGCCGCTTCTGCGATTAATTCGTAGGTTTTGTTGATTCTAGCGGTCAAATCCCGCTGGAATCAATAGGCTTGGACGAAAGCGACTGAATGCGAACCGAAGACATTGCGGAAGTCGTGAATATGTGATGAAATCAATTGGAGATTCTGATCTTGAGCTCAACAAGCAGGTACGGTTTGAATTCCAAATTTATGAATTTGATTAAAGATCGTAGACTTTTTGATGTTACGTTATTAATTGCAGAGAGCATGGAAGTCAATGATTATATTCGATTGTTGCCTCTTGAAATTAAGAGTATCCATCAAATCTTTGCAAGAACCGTCGGCCACTTATGCGGCCTTATAATGTCTTTTTGGTCTTTTTAGACGGACCGTCCCCCTTCTCGGTGTTGTAGATAGACAATATAAAGGCGATAAAGGACATTATTTTTGAAAGCGACTTTCCATGAAAACCCGGTATTGACGTGCCAATCCACCACTGCGTACGGAATAGTAGATCCCCAATTTTAACCAGATGCCCCATTCTTAATATTAGGAAACTTTTGTATGACTTGCCTATACAAGGATACTTTCAAGTGTCTCGCAGGTACCATATAACCCTTCTTAACCCTGAAGCTAATTAAGGAAGATATAAGAAGAAATTTCTAGTTTGAAGAAAGTCCTTCTCATAGAATAAAAACTTGGTCAGGAGCATCAAATAAAGGAAAGAAAGCACCTAGTTAGGATATCTCTGATTATAGTGTCCTATTTTAAATTGTTGTCCTTCTTCTACGTTAGATATCGAGAATTAAAACTAGCACGAAGTACTAGCATTAACTAAATTAATCAAGCCAGACTTACGTTCAATAAGTGTACTCCGTACTGTTTCACTTCCTTTTAGCTAGTTGGATAAGAAAATACACATGGTGCCTAAGCACCCTTTATATAGGCAATTCATGTAAAACGATACTTACACGCAATATCATCATAAGACTTAGACTAGTTAGGAAGAACTTAAGAAGTTATTTAGAGTGTAAAAGAAGTCGTAATCACCTACGGAGTACGGAGTAGGATCCAAACTACAAAGGATTACCCAAGTACGCTTAAAGTACTCCGAACTCCGTAACTAAGAGAATATTTAAATTTTTACATAAGTTGTGCATATGTTGTACAATGTTTCAAACATAGTGCATTTCAAAAGACGCTCTTTTATGTTGTTGCATTCCGTGTTTCCGTACTCCATACGGAATACGGAAACTAATTTCTAGCCTCTCAATTACGGAGTACATCTGACCTAAACTAGAGTTTGTTGGCTTGTTTCTCTTTACGGAGTACTTAACCTAGTCTTAAAGGATTGAGAACAATACACTCACGATAACCGGGTAAATATCTTTTGTATAGCGATTCCATATCAAAGATACTTCATTTTGCAATTTGTTATCAATTTGTTATCTGCTGGGGCGGTGTGAGGTTTGACCAACGGCCTAACGTTAGGCCGTTGAGTCGCCTTCCCCTTATCTGTGATAAGAGCTGCGGCTGTGAAACCTCCGCAACCTAAAACGGCTCGTTTTGTCTCGGAGCCACCATTCCGCAATTTTCGATAAACAATCACTAAGATTCTAATTGGTCACTGATAAGAGAGGTCTTGGTAGACCCGAAAAATAGCATGCGCGGGCGGAACTATCGCTACAAACCCGGGTTAATCGCTGGTCCTTGTGCCATTTGTGGCTTCTAGTACGGTTTTGTGACAATCATTATCGGTCGGTATCGGAACCTTATTTCCTATATCTTTTGCATTTGCGGTTGCCATGAAGTCCGACGGGTGGGTCCCAGGCAGGGGGCTTGCAGTTATGCAGAAGTCGTGGCACGTAGCTTAAGTTATAAAGTTGATGTTAGTGACCCGGAAAGATCACTCCTTTTGTCCACTATCAACACCCTTCTTACTCAATTCTTCCTCGAAAAGAATATTAGCACAATGTGTAGTGTGCAACTGGCCGACGAGCCTTTCGTTTATGCGGTTTTCGGAATCCAATATCCAGCCGGAAATCCGACAGATTCCCAGAAAGCTCTGACAGGGGAGTTCGACGGTCTCATTTCCGGCCACGCGGCACACATTGACACACTCTTGCAAGATGGTTGTGCCACTCCAAACACTGGGAAGACGTACGTTTGGCTTACGTACTGGAAGTCTGTTGCGGACTACCAGAAGTGGTGGACTCGAGAGGATGTGTCTCAATTCTGGGCAGATCTTCCTCTTGACGCGGGCATATGGAGAGAAGTCATGACCCCATCCCCTCGACGAAGTCAATACGCGTCCAGCCGGGTAGAGCCCTCCGGTCTGGGAAATTTGGGCAAACCAATCAGTCTGGGCGAGAAGTCGGGCTACTGGGGATGCTACCGCCATCGAAAGTCTGATCACACTTCGGATAAAATGGTGTCTCCGGTGCAAGAGAAGTTGGTGCCTCATCGACCTTTGCACAGCCCCTCGGCGGAGACATCGGGTCCTGAGATTCGCCCCGGTCGGGTTCACCTGACGCAGTTCCCAGACAACATCTGTTTTGTCGTCGAAGGACAAGACCATTCCGCCATTACGAAAGAAGAACAAAAATTCTGGCTTGGAAACCTTGATGATTTGGTCAATAATTGGATCAAAGATCTCATTGAGGCAGGACCTGAGTCAGGGATTCTTGATGGACGGATATGTTATGATCCCGAGGGTGGCCGGTTCCGCGATGGAGAGCCTAACGCACTGGGGTATAACAAGAAAATCCAATTGTTCTACTTCCAAGATCTAGGCCAAATGGAGAAGATTGGACGACTGAATAAAGGCCATGTTGAGCTGCGAAAGAAGATCTTTGAGTCATATGGCCCCGGGGGGGAGATGATGGCCGGGAAGATTATGCTCCAGGTCGAAACGACTGTTTTGAAATCTGGTGAGATTGATTGTGAATATGTTGGATGTGCTGAAGGAACCGGTTTTATGGCCTTTGGTTCCTATCCGCAGCATATCTCTTAATTAGATAATCGAAATTACACTCGCAGCTTTTGATAATGAGGTCTTTGAAATAATTCGCTGAGGCCATCATAGCAATGGCAATGAAGAGTAAAGGTTTTAAATGTCAAGCTGTTACAGGTGCCAAAACTGGGCCTTTTAATATGTTAGTTTCTTTGAGCTAACAGCTCGGGTAGACTCCAGAGGAATAGCAAAGGCGTGCTTATACAAGGTAGAGCCCTTAACTCCCTAATCTTGACCCGAATCCTTGCAGCCCTAATTTAAATATAACTTAAACTGAAGGGCCCTAACAGAGAACATGGTGTTGCAGAGGTGATATAAAACATGTTAGAATCTGTAAGCATAGGCCTTTGGTTCGGTGCTGTAACACCAAGGCTTAGCAGCACCAGACACTTAGTTCGGTGCTATAGTGTAAACACGACTCAGGGAATCTAGAAAATATCTGAGAGAGATGGTATTCAATCTACAAATGAAGCTGTAGATGAAACTGGAAAATCTCTGGATGCGTTGTAAGAGAGAGAAGCTATCTACAGATTAGCTAGACTAAGTACTAGGAGCAAACATGGAAGTTATATGACTTCCAATACCCCCCACGACTAGCATATAGTCTAGACTGCGACATCGCCCATAGACGGGCGGGTGGGCACTGCCCACGGGCCTTATACAAGCGGGAAATAGGCCCTAACGTGTTCGGTAAGTGAGCTGGCCATATAAGCGAGCTGGCCACCCCAACCAACTTCTTAATTTAAAATGCATTTGTCTCAACCAAAACGCCATTAAATTATATATACTAAAATCATCTATCTAGCTAGGCATCTATTAATCTTATGTCCTATTTCTCCACAACCACTACACTTTGGCGGGGCCCGCGTACGTGGGTATAAAGCCGGCGAAGGGCTTCTTCGTGGAGGGGGAGGAGGTGCTTCAATTGATTCCACCGGCTCAGTGATCAATTGAGAAGCTTCTTAAACTAAGAGGCCTTCTTTAGTAGGTATCTGCCTCCGGGATCTAGTACGCTTTTGCTTCTACTTCTCGTTGGCGACGCGTAAATCCTTGTTTTCTTTGGCGAGTAAGATAGCACCTTGCATTGTAAGACGGAAGCCTTTTATAAGCTGGTTTAATGCACGATCTAGCGGGCTAGGTGGGCTTAGAGATCTTGTACGAAGTAAAGCTTTGATTTATAAAGCTTAAAGACGTAGTTCTTTCTCCGTAAAGGGGGGTTTTAGGGTAAAATTCCGGCTTGATTCACTCCCTTTGGAACAACATGGTGAGATTGCACCATGTTTCGTCTTCTTTGCAAGTCAGGATAGTAGCTTTATTTCTAGTCAAAGCTTGCATCCTAATGGGGAGCATCTTAGGCAATGGAGAAATACGAAAATTTAGTGGATTCCACAAAAACATAATCAAGGCCGATCCCCTGTGGTGCAATCTATTTTCCCCAACCTGATCCTGACGCGGACTTTCAGATCAAAAGCACTCTGAAATGAGATGCTTGATAGAAGATTGTAGAAGATAGAAGGGTGGATGTTTGACAGATTTAATTTTAGCTAAAATACACATGACCAGAAAGGCAACAACGCCATTGATCCAATCCGCTATCGTAAAAAATTCCAATATCTTAAACCTGCGCCTGGAACTCATCAACGACCCGCCCAAGAGTCCCATTACTCCAACCATCAACCCGCTCCCGGTCACACTTCTCATACAAAGCACGTGCAAGGGCCGCAAGTTGAGCAGATTCCTTCGCATCAGCTTCTGCTGCTTGGATCTGGATCCAACATATGACACCAGAACGGGTGATCAGAGTAGTACTACCGCCGACCTGGGCGGCGCGGTACACAATATGCAGGATCTTACGTCTAGCTCCTGGGCCCAGGGTTGGGGACTGGTAGAGGGAAAGAATGCGCTCAAAGACATTGGCTCGACGGTAAACCTCCATGTCCTAGATTCGAGGTGTTAGCAATTGGAATTTTGGAGCGTTGAACTACAAGGTCGAAACTTACAGCCTCGGTGCGGAGTGCCTTAATAAACAGGTTCAGGAGCCAGTCGATTTCATCGAAGTACCCATCATCCAACTCAGGCTCGTGCAGGAGGATTTTGTCAACCCAGTATGTTGGGATCTTCTCTACTTCCCAGGCCGGTGCCTTCTGTAGGAACTTGTTGACTTTGCCGTAGACCTTGTGGAGGGGGTCTGTGAGAACCTCCAGGCAGTTCGAGGCGCACTCGCCAACAATCCAAGGAACGGGCTTCTCCATGCCGATGTTGTTGACGGTCTCGAGGAGCTCACCGGCTAGAGTAAACACTGTGCGCCATTCTGCGTAGGTAGACTCCTTGAGTTTTGCCATGAAGCGAATAATGTTTGCGAAAGCCTGTCTTCGGATTTCTTCGTGCTGAGAACAAAGACAGAGCATCAACTCGGCGACGTGACCCTGGTCCACTGCTTCTGCAATGTCCTCTCTTTCCCATTTGTTGAGAGCATTGTGAGTCGTGCCTTCGGTAGGCAGGGATCCAAAAATCTCATCGAGGTCAATGGCAGAGGCCGTATTGGATGAAGTAGGCACGTTGGAGCCAGAGTCAATGTCCATCTTGTCCTCAGTGTCGACATCATCTGCCTCTTTCAGGGACCTTTTAAGGAGAGACTTAATCTTCTTGGTCTTCGTTGCTTCAACCAGCGCATCCCTAGCAGCCTTTAGGACCTTAGTGCTTTCACCCGCCTGCTTCAGGTTACCCAGAAGACTTGCGATCCAGGCTCCAACAGAAGCTTCTGTGGATGCATCCCCACTCTTGACAACAAATGGCCATTGCTCAACGATGGCAGCAACAAGCGCGCTAGCAGTTCTGGACACATCCTCGGATAAGGACTGTAGCAGATCCTGGTAGTGAACGGGCTTCTTGGCGACACGTGAGACACAATTATCAAAGAAGACCAGTTGTTGGTGCAAAGCATCAGCCTCGAAATTCTCGAGGCTTGACAAGACGGACGCAAATGCGTGGGGGGAGCTTTGCAGAACAGAGTTATCAACCAGAATGGTCTTGAGCAGGGTGGAGATACTGCGCGAAGAGGCCTTATCCGAAGTATCCATGAGAACCTTGAGAATCGAGGTGAAGGGCGAATATTGCATGGATGCTGGCTTTTGCCACCAACGCAATGAAGCGGATTGCTGTGCGATCTGGAGGATACTCTGAAGTTGGCTCAAAAGCGATTCAGAATCGTCCGCGCTGACGTCTGGGGCTTCCAGTCGCTTCAGGACATCCACCAAGACCAGTGAGACGTCAAAGTTTTCCTCTAGAGCAATGTCCGGCATCACTTCATAGTAACAGGTCAAGAGCTCTGCAACAGCCTCCTGCTGGGTCAGATCATCCTTTTCTGTTCGTCGGAACAGGACAACAACATCCTTGACAGCAGGGCAGCGGCGGGAGAACTCTGCCAGCAATTTAGCAGAAGCCTGATTCCAGAATAGCTGACCTTGGCCGTGATCCGCCTGGAAGATTTTGAGGACAGCTCGCAGCTTAGTGAACGCAAGGGTCAGGATGCGCACGGCAAACAAAGTGACAATCTCCGCATTCTGGTTGAGACAGCGGGTCATAATTTTCTGGCCAAGGGGCCGAGGGAGAACATTTTCAATGACGATAGAAACCGGCGGTGGCAGGATAGGCTGCTTGTCCTTCCAGCCACAGTTCGTAGGGACAGGCAACTGCACAGTTGAGAAAAGGAATGCGGATTCCGCCATCCATGAGGGGGTAACCTTAGGGTCTGAGATAAACATGGTTTTCCTCGAGAAGTAATCGGCAACAAGCTCTGGCGCCACCCTGAAGATGGACACCAGCAGCTCGATCTGGAGGCTATCTACATCGGGCCGAAGGCACTGAATAAGGAATGAGAGGGAACCGTTCCGCACGGGGACAGACTCTCGGTATTTGTCGACGTAGATGGGGGAATCAAGGCCCAATTCAATGCATGCATCATCATCAACAGCCAAGGTCTCCGGATCGGCTCCGACGGGATACCAGCCAGTCTCGGGTAAGAGAACACCAAGCCCGGCAGTTTTGCACACGTTCATCATGACTCGGTGGATCTCATTGGCAATTACGACTCCTCCAGCATTAGGTTCATTTGACTCTCGATCATAGCCGTATAGTGTCACCAGTCGCTCAAGGTTGTGTCTGTTGAAAAACTTGCTCTTCGATTTGCGGGACAGAGCAGAATCTTGCACGATATCTCTCTCGATAGCCTTGATAATTTCTAGTACAGTGTCCCGCGGGTCCTTTCGGATATATTCGAGGAAAGACCTGGTGATCTTGTGCTGTTCGATGATATCATTCTTCTCGGAGGCATGCTGAACTCTCAGGTTCGCTAGCAGGTATCGCTGTGCGTTGCGTCTGAGGGTCGATTTGCTGGACTCATCTTCCGAAATCTCCTGCGCTTTGTTGGGGGTCAAGAAAACCTCCAGTCGCTTAAAGGTTATGTACCGCCGAAGGTACAGCTGCCGTGCCACTGCTCCTCCGTCAAAAGTCACAATCTCCGTAAGCAAACGGAGACATGGTGAGATCAAGTGTTCTTTAGACTTGGTTGCTGTCAGACCGCGGTTGAACAATCTCAGCTGGTCTTTCTGCAGCAGGTGCTTGCAAAGGGCGATTCCGAATTCCCTGAACTCCAGTTCCGACGAAATCGTCTTAAGGAAGATCGCAAGAACAGAAGGGACACTGGTCAGTAAAGGCTCATTGTTATTACTATCGCCAAATGACCACGATTGGATGATGTCTGCAAAGCACACTGAGGTCTCATCCTCCTTTCCGGAGTTGGTGATTTGCTTGTCGCAATAATCCTTGAGGACACGCAATTTCTCTGCTTTCTCGCTATCTCTTTCTGTGTGTGCAATTGACACCAGGAACTCTTTAAACTTTATTATACCTATCTGCTAGTCAGTTTTTGTTTAGCCTTGAAGCTTTGCAATCTGCCTCACCTTGCTTTGCCAACGGGGCGTTTTGCTGGACAGCGAGCA